CACTGTGGTAAAGATCCTTTTCCAAGCCCCAGGTTCTTTGTGCCTCCCGTGTGCCTTTTCCTACAAACAGCCATCTCTGAAGGAAAAGAAGGCCTGGAAGATTTCTTCCAGTTGCAGAGTGGAATGTCTGTTCCTTTCACGGTGGGAGCAGAAAGGAGTCCCTAGGGCGTTCATGGGTGGTAGCCTTCTTCCTGACATTCGACCTCAGCCAAGGCCCCTAGACGACTGGCCAACTGGCCGCACCACAGTTAGCTCCATTCAGCAACAATAAATTGTAAACTTGTTGACATTTTCGTCCTCTTTACAATTCATTGTTTATTTTTCCATGACAGAGAATTTTGATGCAATTATCACCGAGCTTTCTGACAAAAGGGGAATAGCTGAAGAATTTTGATGAGTTACCCACTTCATTAATCAGAACAAGCATCTCTGGTGACAGGGTTGGAATTACAATGAAGATTAGATAGCAAATTGCTGTTCCACCTAGTGTCAATCATCCGCAGTGACAGCAGTGTGATTACACTTCAGGGAAGAGCTTTTCTTGCCAACAGAGCGAGGGCAACTGCGGTGCAGGTAATAGATTTAGCGGGGTGGGCTGTCATTTCTTCTCCGAGCGGAGTCCTTAGAAACCAAATGCCGTCTTGTGGAAGATTTTAAGGGGAAGACAGCACTGCGCTTTAAAACTTCCTCTCACATCACAGCATTGTATTTGAAAAATCATTACAGATGCAGGCTTAGGTACAGCTCATCCCCACAGTGGTTTACCATACCAAGCCGATCACTGCAGCTTGATAGAGATGGTAGGAGCTAGGGGAGAATGTGCGATTATAGTTGGAATCCATCGACAAGAAAAGTCAGATACAGAGACGAGTGCAGTAAGAAGGAGATACAGAGGGGCCACGTTGGCTACATGGCTAGTTAAGTTTGAATTCTCTGGCTTAAACAGAATGCACTATGCACTCCTCTTCCAAGTCGGATGTGCTTTTAAATAGCTCTCGTTACAAAGAGCAAAAGGCTAGGGCACCATTGTAGTGCTAACCATCGGTTCTCAACCTGTGGGTCACAACCCCTTTGAGAGCGGCCTCAGATATTTACAGTACAGTCTATAACAGTGACATATTACAGTTATTATTTTAAAAATAATTTTATGGTTGGGGCTCACCACAACATGAGGATCTGTATTGAAGAGTCACAGAATTAGGACGCTTGAGAACCACTGTTCTAGACTGTGAACTGATCAGGAGAAGCAGGCAATTTCCTGGGGCTACAGAGGACGACCTCTAATCCTCATTGTCACCTTGCCTGGATTTAGAATCACCTAGGAGACACACCTAGGCAAAAGTGCTCGGTGAGGTTTAAGGGAAAGGGAAGAGCCATCCATGGATTGTCCCAAGCAAATCCAAAGGAGAAAGCCAGCTTAGCCAGCATTCATTCCTCCCTGCCTCCTGACTGTGGGCACAGTGTGGCTGGATGCCCCAACTGCACCACTGCTTGGCCACTGTAGCTGTCGTCCTTTCCCTGCCGTGGTAGATGTGCCCTCGGACCCAGGACCCAAGTAAACCCTCTCTTAAATTGCTTTTGCCAAGAATATTGTCACAGCAATAAGAAAATTGACTAACATCAGAGTGGAGGGAACAAGCAGATGTGTCTGCGGGAGTGTGCCACTTGTCCTTGCAAGTCAGACGCGAGTACCAGGGTTTTCTTCATGCAGGTTCGCCAGACTCGTGTTTCCCTAAATAGTGTTTGCTATGGATCAAGAATAACTAAACAGCTATCCTCAATTCATTCTTTATTTTTAATCTAAATTTTAATGAGATTGCTTTTGAGCAAGCAGGGGGAAAACCCAGTAGCAAATTTATTTCAGTAAAGCAGTGTTCCAGGAGCCTGTCACTGGGCTATTGTTAACTTCTGCATAATGGGGCCCACTCCAGACTCTTAAAACCCACCCTTTGCTCCCAGGGTCTTAACCCTGGGACTTTAAAGGAGCATACTGACGGTAGAGTTTAGAAACTCCAGCTTTGCTCGCCTAAATTCAGTAACTTTCTAGCAAATGCTGTTGTACTGTGGTAAGCTATGTGTTGTTTGCTTTCGATTCAAAGAGAGAATGTGCCTTCCACTGTTGGGATAGACTAATTACCTAATAGATTAGAGCCACCAGGATGCCAGAATGTTTGAGTTTTGGCCTTGGAATTAACACTAATGCTTTACTTTGTGAATTTAATCATCCAGCATTAGTCTACTTAAAGTTTTAATTTGATGAGGTGACTCATGAGAATACTTACAATTTTGATTTTATCATAATCTAAGAATTAATAAATAGTATGTGTAGAACAATAAAGGACTAGTAGTATAGCCTAGTTGTATGTCGTTTGCTTATGTGCACAGAATCAATAAACAAATGAGTAAATGAACAGTTAAAAGTGTAATGGTACGCAGAAGTTACTGTGAACTTTATGATAAGAGAGAGAAAAATGCAAGGACATGGGCTGGGAAGATGGTCAGCAGTTGAGAGCACTGACTGCGCTTCCACAGGACCCAGGTTAGACTGTAGCACCCACATGGTGCCTCACGACCATCTGTAACTCCAGTTCCAGGAGATCCAGTACCCCCTTCTGGCCTCCAAGGACACCAGGCACTCAAGTGGGACACAGGCTTACATATGCAGGCAAAACATCCATGCACATTGAACTTGTACTTTCAGAGGACCCGCATTTATTCCCAGTATCCACATGATGGCTCTCCATGATCCTTAAATCCTGTTCCAGGGAATCCATGGTCCACTTCTGAGCTCCATGGACACGAGGCACCCTTGTCATGCACATACATACATGCAGGCAAAACACTCATACACAGAAAAATTGAATAAATAAATTTAAAAAGGCATTTTAAGATGCTGTATTCTGTAAGCTAGAGAAGGAAATAACAATGGGAAAAAGAAAAGCAAACCTCCATCCTGACAGCCTAGTGTACCCCATCACAGGTGAAGGCGAATCTTGTATCCAGCAAATCTCTCCTTTCCCTCTTCTACCTCCTTTCTTTCCTCATCTTGTGCCTCCCCAGCGTATCTGAGTTGAGATTCTACAAAATGTGCCCTCATTTGAAGTGATAAGAAAGGGCATAAATAAGGGCTTTGTTTAGGTTGTTTGTGGTTTCTCTTGATGAAATATTATAATACTATATGTTTATCTAAATGGGAATGTAACTATATCCTATATAGAAAAAATTATTCTGGCCAAGTAGCATATTTCCAAGAAGTCTAGAATATGTTTCTTTATATTTTTATTGGTCTTTTAAACTTTTTATTTATTGTGTGTGTACATGATGTATCTACGTCAAAGTCCTGGTTAGTTCGTTGTCAGTCTGACACAGTTGAGGAACTGCCTCCATAGATGGCCTGTGGGCATGTCTGTGAGACATTTTCTTGATTGCTGACAGATGTAGGAGGGCCCACCCTACTATGGGTGGTACCATTCCTAGGTAGGTGTGCCTGGGCAGTATAAGAGAGGTAGATGAAGGGGAACCTGGATGGAAGCCAGTGGGTGGCATCCCTCCGTGTCCTCCGCTTCAGTTCCTACGTCCCCGCTCCTGCATCACGTTCCTGCGCTGGCTTCCCTCAGTGATGGACTGTAACTCGTAAACCAAATAAGCCCTTCCTTCCCCTAAGCTGCTTTCAGTCTTGGCATTGTCCCAGCAGCAGAGAACAAACTAGCACCGTGAACAGTTTCGTGAAGTCAGTTCTCTCCTCTGGGGGTTCTGGAAGGACTCCGGTTGTCAGGCTTGCGGGGACAACCAGCTGAGGCATCTCACTAGCCCCAGGCTTTTATTTCTGTTTCCTCTTTCCCTATAACCTTCCAAAAGTAGAGATTGTTTCTTCAACAACTTTGTTTAGAGTTCCCAAACTGAAACACAGTGGCAGGTGTTTAGTAAATGTTGAAATAGTATCCCTTAAGTATTTTTACAAATAAGGAAGCAGTGAATTAGGCTAAAGTCTTTGAAATCCATCCTTCTCATAAAAGCCTCGTCCTGTGATGTTGCTTTCTGTTTGATCTCACGCTTAGCTCTCCTGTCAGGTTTGTCATTCCCAGGAAAGGGTACTGTTCCCTTCTCTCCAGAGTGCCACCGTCTCGTGGGGATCAGTAAACTTGAGATTCTGATAACGTGTAGTGAGCGCCTTGGTGGAAGAATGCCTGGAATACAGTGGGAGGAGCGCCTAGAGTTAGCCATAGGACTGTCCCTGGGAAGTAAGTGCTGAAGTGGACAGAGAAGGACACAGTGTGCTTCGTGCTGAGACCGGGAGGTGGCAGGAGACTGATCTAGAAAGAAGAGAATGTTTTTATGAAGATCGAGTACATAGACAAGGCCTGAGTGCGTGGTTTTCTCCTTAGACCTGGATCACGAGTAAAGTATGTCTGGGGACTTGGTTAGGGCATAATTTGCTATTGGCTGCATAGGTACGTGGTAGCCTGGGTGTCTCTAGGCCTTCTCCTCAAAACCCCAAGCACATGATTAGGGGTAGCCCAGGTAGGCTTGTCACTTTTAGCTCTCGTTTTCAAGGAACAGACGCCCCAATCTGTTCCACTGAGAACTCATGAAGGACGTGAGTGCCGCTCAAGACAGGATTGAACTAAAGGCTGACTTACTATTTGAAGCTCCAAGACATCCTAGCGGGGCAGGTCATGTTGGAATCAGCTCTGTCAAGCTCCTCAAGGCCTCTAGTTCATGTCTAAGATATGACCTGCTATCCCAGTTTACCACAGGACCAGTGCCTTGTAATGAGAATTAAGTATTTAGTTTAAGTCACGAAGCTTTGGGTGCCCCTGATGCCTGCTTAGATAGTTATCATTCCTCTAAGCTGAGCTTCATTCCATTCCTTCTGAATCACAGGTCGCAGATTTGTTCAGAGAAGTGTGGTGGGAAAATCTGAGGACAGGGCTGTCCATGTTGCATATTTGAAACACAAAAGCTGATTGGTGGTGGTTTTCCAAATGTTTCCACTTCAGTGTCAAAAACGGTATTTCTCTGCCTGGCACAAGCTGATTCTGGATCATAGGATAAAGCTGGGGAAAGCTGGGACCCTGTCTGACTGGAAGCTTCAACTGAAGGTCCTGCGAGCCTGGAGAGACCATGCACGATCTCAGAAGCGGAAGCGGGAGACCCAAGCCTTGGAAAATGACCTTAGGGAAGAGAACAGGTACATTATATAGACCCTGGCGTGCTTACCTAGGGCATCTTCCCTCGGAAGAGCCTGGAAGCCAACTTCAGAAAGGCTGCCCACGAGAACCAGCATGATACAGTGATCTGTTCTCCCGTGCTACCCCAGCTAGAGAGACTTCACTGAGAACTAGAAGCAGAGCGGGTATGGGATGCAAATGCTCCGATGGAGCTCGCTCCCTTTCGTAGAGGAGAGGCAGGGCTTCCATTGCTGAGGAATAGCGCCGCACCTTGTACCAGCTCACAGTTCTGAGGCGGGAGTTGGTGTATATGCCAATGATCCTCATTGATGGAGTCGCTGTCTGCACATAGAATGCTAATTAAGGACGCAGGGAACATCCATCTGGGAGGGCTAACCTGCCAAGAGTGATTCCTCCCACAGTGCTGCCTTTTGTTCCACACCTTATTTAGAGGTTTCTGGCGCTTTTATATCAAGTCCCTCTTTGCTGTCTCACACAGACTTCATTGTCAAATGAAGCTTTTTTTTATTTCATCATCTTAAAATTAAATGCATTTTCTGTTTCATTTCCAGGTTTAACCTTGCATGGTGTGTGTGTGTGTGTGTGTGTGTGTGTGTGTGTGTGTATGTGTGTGTGATTTTTGTTTTGTTGTTGCTTAGTAATGCTGGCTGTTGAACCCAGGGCTTTGCATGTTTTCCTACTGGCCTCCACACCCTCAGCCCATCACCTTTTTATTCTAGAATCAATGTCACTGAAGTAGAAGGAAGCGTTATGTTCTTATGTGTAATCATCACTGACAACTCTGTCATTCATTCCAGGATGAGGAACTCAGTGAATGGTGTGTGGAAGAGTTGCTCCATTGAAAGCATAGCTGATAAGCCCGCTGATAGGTGGTATCAGACCCTGGGAGGGCACATAGGCATCTGGCACATGGTCCGCTGTCCTCAAAGAACTCAGCTCTGAGAGAAAAGCAGCATCTAAAGACAGTGCAGGTGCTCAGCATATTGTACAGCAGGGGATGTGTTCCCTTCTGCTGCGAGGAACGCGATAGAGCAAAATGTCGCTGTCCGGGTAGATGCCTCAGATCCTGTAGACCAGGCTTCATCAGGATGGAAGTGGAGCCATCTGGTTTGGCTGGAGATACACGCCAATGTGACCTTGCTTGCTTACGTGCTGTTCTCCCTCTATAGTCCTTTGTTTTTACTCTGTGTGTTTGTGTGTGAGCCCACATGCGTACATATGTGCCCCATGTATGCAGAAGCCCGTAGAAGTCATAAGAGGCCATCAGATCCCCGGGAACTGGAGCTACAGGTGATTGTGAGCCTCCATGCCAGTTCTGGGAGCAGAGCTTGGATCCTCTGAAAGGGCAGCAAGTGCTCTTATCTCTTGACCCTCTCTTGCCCCCATGAAAAGCTTTATATGCTGGGACAAGGAGTTTAAGTGTTAGTTGGTTTTCAGGTGAATTTCTAAGCTTTCCAAGCAGGAGGATGATCCGTTTGGACCGTACAGTGGGGTGCATCTCCAGTGAAAGGGCCAGTGGAGAAGACTCTGCTTTAATCTGTCTCCAGAACCCCAGGGCCTCGTGCTTGGTGTAAGGAGCTGGGATGACAGCCGACTGCGAAACCGAATGATGGGCCTTTGCTGGGTAAAGAATGCAAACTGGAGACCGTGTAAGGGCACGGGGTGGAAAGAGCGGTGTTAAAGCCGCTGGTAAGACTTGCATGCTAGAAGAAAAATCTGGAGAACTCAGGATTCCATTCCAGTTAAACAGTTCAAATAGTAAAGGCACTAAATGGATATTTTATAATAGTATAATGTGCCATTTTTTTTTTAAGATCTCAGAACCTTTAGTCTGGTATCTGAATTATTTTCAGGTACCTATTTTTAAATGTTCAGAATAGGTCCTAAAATTTGTTTCACTGCTGAAGTTAGACAACATTTAACTTATAATACTTTTTTTTTACTATAAAGCTTTAGAACAACACATATCCTAGAGCAGGATGACACCTTAGGATCGTCTGACCCAGGCCCTCATTCCATGAATGAGGAAAAGAAAGCCCTGAGAGTAGAAGTGACTGTCACAGAGCCAGGTGGAGCAAGTGTGGGACGAGAACCTTGTCCCTGGGGTTCTGTCTCAGATGCCTTCGCCAGATAGTACTGCCTCCCGGTTAAGACAAACGGCATCTTAGTTGAGGCTTCCCCGGGCTAGCCATTAGTTTCTCCTGTGTTGTGATTTCTGCGGATAGCGCTGTGAAAACTAAGAGTGGCGATTAGCAAATGGCAGATCACCCTGGAAAGGAGAGAGACAGGAGCTGCTGGGCAGATGACCCTGGAAAGGAGAGAGACAGGAGCTGCTGGGCAGATCCCCTGGAAAGGAGAGAGACAGGAGCTGCTTCTGCAGACCCTCCTGCGGCCCAGCTCTCTGCGCGGTGAATGTTGCCCTAGAAACTGTTCTAGGAAATCCAGACCGTGGACTATCTCCATCATGCCCAGCGAGGTTTCTCTGCCTCGATGGACACCGACTGCAGTGATAAACGAGCCAGTTAGTGATGGGAGGCTCAGTTGCTTCCTTTCCTGCGGCTTAACTGGATGGAGTCTTCATGCTCCGGTGAGCAGCATGGATAGGTGAGAGCAAGTGATAGAGTGGTTACTCACGTGGGACGGGACACGTGATGCTTTGGCTCCTTGCAGGATGCTGCTAAAACCACTTGTCTAGTATTCCCATGTGAGCTGAATCCCCATCCCTGGTTTCTGCACCCACAATGGTTTTGTTCACTGAGGTTTCTCCTCATGGTCTGCTCCCCTGCAGGACCCGGCCTTGTGGGCTTTCTCTGTTCTTCCTACTCCTCTCTAAAGTAACAGCAAATCCCTGAGTTCTCATTCATAATTTAGTAACCTCCTTCTTCCTAAGCCTATGCAGTCTCACCTTCACTTTAAGGGTTCATCCACTTAGCCTACAAATGCATCTTGCTTTTCCTATTAGGAATTGTGGTCCTAATAGTGTGGTTCCATCTTCCTCTTTTCTTTCAGAAGTAGTGATGGTATTGGGTGTAATGGTGCATGCCTGTAATCCTAGCATTTGGGAGGGGAAGGCAGGGTGATGTGGAGTTGGACGGCGCCCTTAGCATATAGCCAGTTTGAGGTCAACCTGGGTTACATGAGACCTAGTCCCCCAAAAAAAATTAAATTAAAAAAAAGTTATTGTGACTAATGGCTTCACTAAATTTCCATATAATACCATACTATAGTTTCAGCATCGTAAACATTTCTGGACTCGTTTGCTTAGGCAATGCCATAGAACTCTACTACAGACACCTTTGATGTGGTGGCAGCGAAATTTTAAGTGTCAATTTCCGTAGCATCTACACTTTCACAGGTTGGCTTCGTGTCCACCGCTCCTTATAGTTCCAGGCAGCTCTGCAGGAAAAGGGGATAAGCAGGGTTTGAGTTTGGTGTCGTCTGCTGGCTCTTCGGTCCTGTTCTCCTGCTCTCTCTGGACTTTCCTAGGAAGCACCTGCCCTAGGCTGTCCCAGCCACCGTCCACGTGTCCTGGGCTGCCATCTTCACAGCGGTCCTCTGGCTCTGCCTGGAACATGCCTTAATCTCTCCTGTCAGTTCTCAAGCCCCCCACTTCTTTTCTCCTATAGCCCGTGATCGTCTGGACTTCTTCATTTCTGAGTTCAGCCTTCTGTGGGCAGTCCTGTACAGAGCAGTTCTGTCCATAGTGTTCAGTCGCCTTCCCTCTGTGCTCGCCCGGGTTCCCTGGTGAGTGGCCGGAAGCCACGTGGATTCTGCATCTGGGGAAGCCCCTAACAGGATCTGTCAGAGGACCAGACTCACTTGAAAAACTCCCTTAAACAAAACTGTCTTCTGTCCTGTTTCCCTGGGGGCTACCTAGTGCATGATTGGACGCATTAGCGTGCTCTTGCCTGTTGCTGCTGAAGCTGCTCATCCCAAATGCAGCGGCTCCTGTCACTGCCATTCTGTTCTGCACCAGGTCTTGGCACTTAGTCAGATTACTGGTATGCGGTTATTTATCCTCTCCCATTTCCTTGTGAAAAATTCAGAACACAGGGCCAGGGAAATGGCCCAGGCAGTAAAGGCACTTGCCATCCAGCCTGGTGACCGGAGGTCCATCCCTAGAACCCACACGGTGGAAGGAGAACTGACTCCTGCCAAGTTTTCCTCTGACCTCCACACGCTCATTGGAACCTCCAGCAAGAAAAGAATGCAAACATTAAGACGCGGTTTAGAGATCCAATAGTCTTGCTGTGAGATAGCATTATTACTCTTATCTATGGATTTCATTCTATATTTTGTTTTATTTAAGGTAACAAAAGAAAAACACATTTGAAGAGGTAGGCAGGACAGCGTTCTCAGCGCCATTCCTGAGGACAAATCGGCAGCTCAGAGACCATCAGCACTTGCCCACTATCCCAGGTCTGCTTGAAGTTCTCCTGACTTCGAGGCTCTACGTTACACACCTCTCACTAAAAGCACTATTAGAGGTGTTGATCCTGGACAACACAGTTCATACTTGAATTCCTATTTAAATCATTCCTGTTCTGTGCTCTTAGGGCCTTCAGAGACAGCCTTTCTTTGCAGGCAGTTATGTAATTATGATGATCAATTTCTACGTTCTTGCTAGAAGTGTTCTGATTTAGCTCACGAGCATATTGGGACAGGCTGTTTTCCATAAGGCACTCTGTCCTTCCTTGTCGTTCCTGGGAACTGTGTCTCGAGCCTTTTCTTCAGGTGGATTTACCTAAGCAATTGCATCTCACTGCGGTTTTAGGAAAATGAGGTGATTTCATAAGAAAAGGAGGCGACCCTTTCAGAACTAGCTCTATTTTTAGTGCAATCTTTTAAAAAAATATGGAAGTTGGTTCATATAGGACATTGTCACTGTGCCGGAACGAAGTGCAGAGCAGCAGGCATGGAAACAGCCTCTCTGGTTTCAGTGTCTGTTTTCTGCCCTTCCACCTGCGCTCACAAATACGGACGTCCTGCCTGCACGCCGCACCTCCAGTGCAGCCGTCATAGATGGCGCTCAGCACCGGAACAAGTGTGCCTTTCTGCTCACTTTCCCACCTTCTTGGTCTCGATGGAGTTCTAGAGATGGTTTCCCTGTGGCTTTTGTAGTATCTAAAGAATTGAACTGACGGCCAAGGGCCCAGTGCTGCTTTGGGCTGTTTATACTGTAAAAATAATGTTAGCACACCAGGTGCCTCTCACACCCACCCTTCTTGAGAAGACTGACGTAAGCTGGATTTCACATTAGTCAGCCTCACCCGCAAGCATCTTCTGCCCTAAAATTTATGAATTTTACTCCCTGGAGAAAGCTAAAGGTTTGCATTTGTCTCCCTACTTAGTCTTTGCAGCTTTCCCTGCAATTTAGCTTACTGCCTCTTCTAAAAATTGTATCAAGTCAGTCTCGTTAGATACTTATTTATTTCCATTACAGTAAAATACATACATGTTTATTATGACTTATAGTATGCTTTTATTTATAGAAACTATCTGCCAGCCACCAAGTATTTGTCAGCCATCATCAACTTAATAATCAACCATTATAAAGATCAATTAAATATAATGGTATATGTTGTCGGAAAGTGTCCTGGACACTCTCCTGCCGCTGCAGCAGAGTAGCATAGGCCAAATAACTTTAGAACTATAGAAGTTTATTTGGTTGCTAGTTCTGGGACTTAGAAGCTCAGAGCACACAGTACTGGCATGACAAGAGCAAGCAAGCACACACTGGACAGACGGGAGGTGGGGTTCTCACCCTTTTCATTGGTAACCATAACAACAGCATCAGTCTGCTCCTAGGGGCACAGCCTTTGTGACCTGACCAGCCATTTTCAGGTTGTGACCGGTAGAACACTAGAACACCTGCTATGGCCCCCAGCTCCTTAGTTAACTTTCCAGGGCCCCGCCGCTTCCTGTTGTTAAGAGGAGTTCAGGCTCCACATTCTTAGGTGTGTTGAAACCGTGGCAGCTGAGGTGCTTGTATCTCAGGGCTGGGTTAGAACAGAAATAGCCATGCTTGTTTCTGATAGCAAGGGGAATACTATTTGGAGAAACTTTGTTTCCTATAAAGATATCAGAAACAAAATACACACACACATTCATTTGAGTTTACATATAAGTTTCAATATTGTTACAGTGTAACATTTTTCACTGTAGGTAACCAGAGAAGGTCATGTAAACATTTTTAAAAACTATAGAAATGGGGCTGGAGAGATGACTGGCAGTTAAAGTACCTGGATTCAGTTTGGGGCACCCTGGTGTGAGGGGGGGGGTGTCAACATCCTTCTCTAACTACAGTTCCAGAGGGATCTGACGCCCTCTTTTGGCATCTGTGGTACTGCATGCATGCATATGGTCCAAGTATGTATTTACATGCAGACAAAACAGTCATATACAAAAGTAAACAAGTCATTGCTGGGCAGTGGTAGCACATGCCTTTAATCCCAGCACTTGGGAGGCAGAGGCAGGTGGATCTCTGTGAGTTGGAGGCCAGCCTGGTCTATAAGAATTAGTTCCAGGACAGGCACCAAAAACTACAGAGAAACGCTGTCTCAAAAATCCAAAAAATAAAAAAGTAAAAACAAAAGTAAACAAGTCTTATTTTTTATCTCTAGAAATCTAGAAATATTCTCCCTATGCACTGATTTAAATCATTATGATTTTCTTGATAGTACTTCAGAGTGTATATATAATGTTTAATATGAAGAGCTATGCAAACAGTGCTGTGGAGAACTCAGTTATGTTTACAAGATAAAATCAATAAGGCAAATAAGCAATATTGGATTTTGTCTCCAAATGGACACTTGATGCCACATAATCAATCATATAATAAGTTCCAAAGTCACAGTGATGCCCATCTCCCAATACATAAATACAAGAAATCTCTAGGCTTGAATCCAGCGTGCGTGCATGTGTGTGTGTGTGTGTGTGTGTGTGTGTGTCGTGCACGCAGATGTGGTGTTTACATGTGTGCAGATGGAGGCCCAAGGTCGCTTCAGTGTCTTCTTATGAAGTCAGGGTCTCTTTCTGAAGCTGGCACTCTTCTAGTCTGGCTCACCAGGTCGCTCTAAGGATTCCACCTTCCCATTTCCTGCATTTTGAGATTACAGACAGGTCGCCACACCTACCTGGTGTCTGCGCGGCCTCTGGGGACCTGAACTCCAGTCCACACACTCATGTAGCCAATGCGTTACTTGCAGAGCCTTCTCCTCAGCCCCAAGACTTGAATTCTTAACCAGCTTCCACCATGATGTCTCCTGGGATTGACTCCCATGGCAAAATCAATAATGTCTACTCCCAACTCAAGCAGCCAGGGTCACTAATGTTTACAAAGGTCGCAGGAGCCAGGAGGAACTCTTTCTTAGGTGATGAATGAGCGCTGAGAGCTGGAGCCTGGCCTGTGCCCTCACATGTGCCTAGTGCTTCAGGGCTTTGGCAAATGCGAGCTCGACCATGACTCTCTCCCCGTGCAGGTCCTTAACAAGATCATCTTCAGGGTTTGACATAGACTTTGATAAATCTTTTCTGCTGTTTGTTTATTTGTATTTTTGGAACAGGGTTTCTCTGTGTAACAGCCCTGGCTGTCCTGGAACTTGCTCTGTATACCAGGCTAGCCTCAAACTCACAGAGATCCGCCTGCCTCTGCCTTCCAAGTATTAGGATTAAAGACATGCACCACCATGCCCAGTGAGAAGTTCTAATTATTGGCCTCACTAAGTGATATGACTGGTCTACGGAGTTTTCTCCTAACCTGCCTGCCTTAGATTTCCACCTGTCTGAATATCTGTTTCCCCAACGCATCCTTCTTTTCAATAGTTACATGTATATATACTATAAATCAGTATGTCTTATTGGAAAGTTAGAATGAATAGTACAACCACTTTTTCTTCTTAAAGGTATATGCTGAGCTATTGATGCCTTTGATTAGAGTCCACTCTGAGGAATGTAAAGTAATTCTATTTAGTTTACTATAACATGACAAGATGGAGCATTTCAGGAACTTCTTTGGTCTTATGTTTCATTTGTATTATCAGCTAACACTATACATGGCTTCTTCTTTTTTTTTTTTAACGGACGTACTTTGTCTCTTAGAAAACAGCAGCTGGCTACCGAGTTTAACCGGAAACAACTTCTCCGATACTGCTTTGCTGAATGGCAGCGTTGGCATAGTTCAGAAGTTATAAAGAGGGAGCTGGCGCTAGCCAAGGAGCAAACTCGGAAGAAAATGGATGAGCTGCTGAAGGCAGCCTCCCTCGGGAAACTCAATTCCAATGGGTCATCGAGTATCCATCGTCTTGCAGAGACAACAGCCCAGGTGGACCTGCCAGTGGGAAGTGGAGAGGTACATTGCTCCCTTTGTTTGGGCTTCATGTTTGTTATGGATTTGCATCTGAGCTTTGCACTTTCATGGCAGCTGGCATGAGAGTGCCCTGTCTAAGCTATGCAGAGGTTAGGGCTGCTACAGTGCACAAAGCTTATGCACAGCCATGCAGGCTGTGATTATTTCCTTGACCGGAATTTTTTTCAATAGTCATATGTCAGTGTTGGGCTACCTAGAAGTTGCTAAGGACATGATAGAGAAGGGATTTGGAACAGGTAAGTGAAAGGCCTTTGGAAAGAGAGGGTTAAAGCTTGCTGACAACTCTTGAGCCCCCATTTGATCTCCACACATTTCCTTTTCGGATAAGCTTGTGATATAATGTATTCTTAACTTTTGTTTTTCTAATAAGAAAGTTGTTCATACTAATTGTGACAATTTGGTAGGAGAAAAATCACCAAGAATGTTTTTTTTTTTTTAAATCAAGTGGTGATGGTATGTACCTGTAACTGCAATCTCCAAGTCAGTCTGGGCTGTTTAGTGAGTTCAAGGCCAGTCTCAATAAATAACCACATCTATTATTCCATTATCTGGAGGTAACAGGAAGTACAGTTATCTATTCTTTTCTCTATTGAGGCATGTATAAATTTCTTATTGTTAATATTTTATTTAGCTTTAAATTCCCCTCCACTAGGTCACTGAAGAAATCCAGCCTGCCATAATCAGGAAAAGGAAGGCTTGTTGGGTTTTTTTTTGCTTGTGAGACCTGGTCTCTTACAGTACAGTCTGGCCTAAAATGCACTCAGTAGCAAAGGCTGGCCTTGAACTCCTGATCCTACCTCTGCTTCCCAAGTATTGGTATTATGCAAGGTTGTTCTGTGGGATTTGTTTGGTTTGGTTTTTTTAAATATGAATGTAACTATTTTATTTTCTTATAAACATCTTTTGGATTTGGTAAATAGAACGTGGACATTTTATATTACTAAATATATCTTAGCCATAGTTCTTCTTTAAAAGTAGCTCTCAGAGCTAGACCTACTGATCAGAATTTCTGGGAATGGGGCAGCAGTAATTTCAGTTCTGCAGGTGAACTCAGTACCCACCCTGGTTATGAACCGCAGCTCTCTGCCGTCATTTTGTAATGCAAACATGACATTGTATGGTGAACCTAAGCTAGAAGTAGTTAACTCATAGGTGGCTGAAATTTAAGTTGTTTTCAGTTTGTCGTTATTTCAAACAGTGTTTCACTGGACATCCTGTTAGTAACTAGTCTTTACATATATACATAATGCTTTACTTAGGGTGAGTATTTTAAGACAGAATGTATGTTCTATTTTTATCTTATGTTTTTTATCATTTGCATTTCTATTGCTAGTGAAGTTAAGCATTTTTATATTGCTGTATATACATAAAGATATGGCTATAGAAAGATAGGCATAAGTAAGTCACCTTTGTTCCTTTTTCTACTAGTGGACATGTCTCTTTACTCATAGGAGTTCTTTAGACTTTTCGGAATATTGATACTTTCATTATTATGTGTGCTGCAGACGGTTTTTCTCCTGTTCATCTGCCTTTCCGGTTTGGTTGGTGTTTGGTGCTGTGTCTAGCTGTTCATTTCTTATGAGGTCACTCCTAGCAGTTTGTCTTTCTCTGTTGCACTTGTCTTGTTAGAAAGCCTTAGGAGAGGATCCTCTGCCTCCACCCTGCTCGAAGTGCTGCTAAGTGCTTAACTCAGGCACATAAAATTAAATTGGGCACCTGAGGGGCTCAGCCTTGCCTTATACCCTGATTGCTCTGAGCAAGCAGGATGGCTTCCATTTAAGGTACTCTCCTCAAAGAAGGAGCCCAAGAATGCTTATTGGGGCTTATGTAACATCCTTGGCCCTTCCCCCAGGCATTTTATCTACTTTCATATTAGCTAGATAATTTCATCTCTATTGAGACCCAGAAAAGATTTATATCCTAAGAAACAGCTGAATGGAACCTTTTTTTTTCTTATCAAGTTCTACTGTTGTTAACTTAAAATAAAAAAAGTCAGCAAAAATACCTTTCCTGTGTAAAACAACAAAAAATGCTGTATAACATACATATATTTCTATGTATATATGTGCATATATATATTTCAGAAAAAGCCTCCAAGTTCCAAACTAAAGAAGAAAAAGTTTTATCAAGAAAATAATTTTGTGGAAAAAAAATAGAACAAAAGAAAACAAGGGACTAAAATAGGCCTTAGAGTTCAGGAAATAAACTCCATCTTTTCTGGGATGTACAGTAAAACACGAGCACATTAAATGCCTTAAAAGATTTCGAAATTATCAGTTAGCTGGTAGGTAATTTCCTCTGAGTAGACCGGGCTGTGCAGTTCTTTTCCAGCAAGTACAAACTGTACCATTAGGCTTTTGTTTCATTCTCCTGTTGTTACCTTCAGAAGTTGCCATGATCCAAAAGAAGCTTTGGTGCTGTACTCAAGCTTTTATGCAGTCTTGCTGGGCTAATAAGGGGTCATTACCACAAGGTTTAAAAGCACCTAACACATCTACCCTGCTTGATGCTAAATTACATAAGCAGGGCTCTCATGAATAAACGTCCACTGACATTTCTAAAATAAAAGGTTATTTTTAAAGTCTTTAGCATGTCAGGGTTTCCATGGATCACATCTCTCACGTCAGCTGAGTCTTAGAGAGCAGTTCCATCATCACGAGCAGTGTTTCTGAGTCCCTAAGGATGGTACCCGTTAGTGCTGAAAGCTTCTAACACGGGACAGCCCATGGCTTTCCCTGCCATTGCGCATGGTATAATTGTAGCTGATCACATCACGGACTCAAATATTCTAACTTGACATGAATTTTGGCCAGAATAAGTTTTGCTGTTAGAAATGCTTCTTTCCTTCCCCCTGGGTAATGTCATTGAGCATGAGTCCTGCCTATAAATGAAGTTTACATCTTTGAAAGGTATTATATTGTATGCTAATACAAGGTATTTAGATAAAGCTGTTCTTATGTAGAGCAGATATTTGCTTAGCCCTGGCTTTCCACAAACCTCCCCCAAACAGATAGTTGGGAAAGAACTGGAGATTAGTCTCAAAATCAGAACTGGGGTTGAAATTTGTATTCTATTTAAGGATGAATTTAGTAGAGATGGAACAGGCCTTGAAAGAACAGATCTGTTGCATCTTAAGAAATAACTGAAAGTAATTTTTTTTTTCTTACCAAGTTCTTACTGTTATTACCTTTAAATGAAAAGATCAGCAAAAAGTATTTTTTCTGTGCAAAACCAAAATTTGCAATATAATAGACTTACATACATAAATTTAGAGTTAAGACATACATATATACATGCATACATATGTTTAGACTTACGACATACATACATATATACAAACATGTTTAGACCTAAGAGAAAGCCTCTAAGTATCTGAAGTGAAAAAGAAAATTTTCAAACATTCTTGAAGAAAAAATATATCCTGTGCCACAAAAAAGGTCAGATTTCTGTAAATTTTAGTGTCAGTTTTACATTTAAAAAGTTATATATTGTAAGAAATAAACTTGTCTGGTTACAAAATGAACTTGAGAAAATCCTAAGAGGAGGTTGGGCATGGCGGTGCATGCCCATATAGTAAAGCACTTTAGCAAGGGGAAGCAAGAGGGTCATTAGCTCAAGGCCAGCCTGAGTTACGCGAAGTACTTTCCCATAAAAGCCAAAGGACTCTTCCAGCTCCTTGTAGATGCCTCGGCCCATGACAACAGCCCCCACAGCTCTGCCCACATTCCACTGTTGATGGGGAGCCCAGCATGCATTCTCAGCGGCTTACAGCACTATGCTCGAGGTGTCTGAGATCCCCGGACATAGAGAGCAGGGCATCTCTACCTGAGGTGTAGCACACTTGTGCCATTGAACAGAACATAATGAGACCAAGCCAGGATCTCAGCTCATCAGTATGAGTTAGAATATTACCGTTTTCCTCAGGTCACCATCATGCCCACTTGGTGGGAAAAGCCACCCGTGGTGAGCAGGGGTTGTATGCGGAGCCATTCCCCAGGAAGAACAACCGAGGGTGATATTAAGGGTCCCCTCCCAGATGTCTGTGGGAGCACACCTGGCACACAGCAGCCCAAGACTCCAGATGCTAAGACCACTAAACAGCCCAGGAGCCATGAAAAGCCTGGGACCACTAGCCAGGAAGCAGAGCCTGATTGTGAGGGGCCTTCCCACCGTCGCTATGTCTACCAGCAACAGCTGATTGAGAAGCAAAAGAAGAAACTCAAGGAGCAGCAGAAGCTCATTCAGCAGCTGAAGGAAGACCAGCGGTTGGCTGAGGCCCGGTGGGCAGCCAAGCGTGCCACAGCAGTCACAAAAGCACAGAGTCGCCTTCTGTCCAGTCCCAGAGGAGCGGAGGAGCCGCCAGGAACCTGCCAGAAGCTTCTGAAGTAGGTCGGCAGTCTCAGAGCATCCCCTGAACTTACTAGAGGGGGTTTCCTTTGAGAAAGAGAGGCTGCTGAGTATCTTTGCTTGGCTCTTACTCTCCTATGTCTTTATGCGGTCTGTCCACTCAGAAAGCCAAGAAGCCTCATGGATTCTGACTTGCCCGTGTGAGGTGTCCATAAGTATTTAAAGCAGAGGGCTGCCTAGATGGATACACTATATAGTGAGCACTGGGAGGTAGCTGCCTTTGGGAGAGGAACTTTGTAACTGTGTAGGGAAAGAGAAGAATGCTTGTTCTAACTCGATTTCTGAGTTTCTGATTATGCTTAGTGCTGTGAAGCCAGGGCAGACATCATGGACCCCATGGACCAGCCACAGGGCTGGATAATTTCCTCGCTTGTTCGAAGTAAAATTTTGTACCTCCAGGCTTAGAATAGGAGTTCTACATTGCCTCAAAGTCTCTTAAGACAATTTCAGGCGTGCCTGAGACATACTTTGGTGTGTGATGAAGGTTGTTAGAACAGATCAGAAGATGCGGGTGGGGTCTGTCTTATGCTGACTCAAGTCTGGGTATAGCACTTCATCCTTAACTCAGAGTTCAGGTGAACTTTGTATAGCGCTTTGGGTTCCTTGGGTGCGAAGACTTTGAAGGAAGCCAATTATCAATTTAAATTTTTTTCTTTTCTTTTTCTCCGTATTTTCTTCAAGTTCATCTGTTCTCTCCCCAAGGTGTGAAGACAGTAGGACTGATTCCAGAAATTCTCTTTCTGCATCCAGAAGGAACCTGACGGCACCCCATCCCTTACTGAAAGGCAAGGCGGTCCTGGTGGTTTTCATGATGGTGGCCTTTTCCGCTGGAGTAGCATTTGTCTGGGACTGCAAGCTTCCAGCTCATAGGCTTTGAGATGTGGTAGAGCCTTCTGAAAACCTAAGCTCTATCACATGGGAGAAATGGAATGCACAGGGAGCCTCCACTACTCTCCTCCCTTTCCCTTTTGCCAACCCTGGTGGCTTCCCCAGCTAACACATGCGTGTGTATGTGCATGCTCAGGGGTGCGCACGTGCTTACACAAATAAACACACACACAGAGCATGGGGGACACACCATTTTTCTCTAATTTGAGATCTGTATTGTGGAAAATGGGGGGATTACTCAATTGAAAACTCTGAGTAGCAACTAAGGCTAAACATCAATAAAGTTCATCTGCCATTATACCCCATCAGTGCCAAAATACTGAAGCGTTCATAGCAAGTCAAGTCATGCTGTCATTTTATGGTGCATTATCTTAATGGTAGCATTTTGGTGATGAGATATATAAACCAGATAGTTTAATTTGATGGCATTTTAGGTGCACATGCAATTCTTTGTTTAAAGATTAAATAGTGCTTTGGGAGTAGAGGCATTCCTCAGGACCCACCTAGTAGTTCTGCTAGTTGATTTTGTCACATAGCTGCTCTACACACACACACACACACACAGTGGGGAGTATTTTGACAATTACATTGAGTTTTTTTAAGTTATGGCCAAATTGCCACGCTAGCTAGAAGTAATGGCATCTGAGAGACATAGTAGTCAGTTCCTGTCAATGAAGAGACCAGCTGGCTGCGTATCAGATGTCTGTCTGCAGGACAGCAGCTGTTGCTGGTTGCCTACTACTTAGGCTGATCTGGAGATGTCCAGTTCATTGTGATAAGTTTTTGAAATTATTGTTTGCTCAATGACTTAGCTATTTTAGAATCCCAGTCTGTTTTTCAAGTAGACTTTAATGATTCAGTCTAGAAAAGATGGGGAATGGATTGCCGAGACGCTGCTTCTCAGGCTCTTTACTTTAATCCTCCCGTCTATTTCTGCCTCCTTAAGGACAGTCTCATTCCACCATCTGTGCCACCACCACTAGTCCTTTGTGGCAAAGCAGACACTTAATATCCTTAAGAAATAGCTTGGTGAGTTTTTGTTTATTAATTCTTAAAACTTGGCTTAAATTTTCTTCTCTGTAACACGGCCCAAGGAACTGGAAGTAACCATTGGCTGGCTTTGCGTGCAGAACTCAGTGCTCCTGCTGCCCATGCCCCCGCCTGCGCCAGCCCCGGCTGATTATAGTCATATTATCAGACCATCTTGCACATTTGTTTCTTTTGGATCGATATTTAATAAACTGTCAAGAACAGGAGTCTGACACTCAAATTCATTCTGATGCCAGTTCTCCAAATGCCTGGTTCACTTCCATTTCCGGCCCATCTGGGTGCCTGGGTCTTAAAACTACTTTGAAATGTATTCACCCTGACCCCAACTTTAGGTTTTCTTGTTGTTGTGCACACACATGCACAGCGGCTTCAGAACAATGCGAGCCTCACTTAAAGTGAGAGTGAAGGGATTTCTCTACTCTCTAAGTACTTGTTAGCTGTGGTTACATTTTTTTCTTTGTTCATCAGCGATATATTAAAATTATGACTTCTGAGTTTCATATACTAGAAGTCCACCATCCAGGAATATTGTCTTATTTCAACCAATAGAAATATATTCTAAAGAAATATGAAACCAAAAATGTAATGAATGTATAACTTGGTCATCACTGCTGATGTTAGGTCTTTAACCTGTTGAGTTCAATCAGCTCCATATGTCAGGATGTTCAATTACAAGAAAGCTCTAATGATAACTCTGATTGGGACTAGAATATGGAGACATTTTACAGAGTACTTCATACATTTTTTTATATTGGATGATGTTACTATTTTTCAGCCATGGAAGAGAGAGCAATTCAACGAGCTGAACGTAGGCGGATCTTGGCAGAAAAGAAGAAAAAACAAGAAGAAGACAAATTGGTAATAAATTCAGGATGCAAACTGAGGCAAGAAAAATGGTTTGTTCAGATTTCAAAAGCTGGGACCTTGCTTGTCCATGCCTCCTAAGATAGTAGAGTTAGAACAACTTCAGAAAAGCTGGAGGCCTAACCCTTTGAATTCAGTGTTAGAAAATGAGGGAGGTTGTATGTAGCATCATTAGCAGAAGAGAACGGAATGTTACAGAAGTGAATGACAGCTAGCAGATGGGCAGGGTCGCAGATAACCACAGTTAGTGCACTGTAGATAGATAGATGTCTGACCCACTGACTTCGTGAAAAACGGTCATCTTCCAAAGTCTGACCTACTGTCAGAAGGAAAGTCTGCATCTACAAGAAAAACGTAACAATTCTGTTTGGAGTGGGCTAAGCAGACATCACCACACCATACTTCTGTTTCACAAGTGAAAGTAAGAACTGAAAATAGTCATTTTATCCTGAAAGCAGAGTGGCCGTATTCATGTGCAGTGTCCCCTTTGGCAGAAGAAGGTCCCTGTTAGAGAGACCCCTAAGTTACAGGGCATGTTGAGTATTCCCCTCCTGCCACAAACGCACAGTCCAGGGGCAGGCCTGGCTCCTGGTAGGTACTTGACTGCCTCACCACAGAAAACTTCCTTTCCCACTCAGGAAGGGTCTCGGTTTTCTTATCTCATTCAGGCTCAGTTAAAGGCCCAAGAGGAAGAACGCCAGAAGAAGGATGCAGAAGAAAAGCAAGCTCAGCTGGAGAGAAAGCGAGAGGAAAAGAGGCTGAAGATGATGGTTAGTAGTCTTTCTGGAGTCTGTAGGCAGCTGCCTCTGTTGGGGCTGACTGCTAGTGATCCGGTGGCTCCGTCTCCTCACTTGTGCACTGGCCATGGGGTACTTAGGCATAGGATGCGCTCAGCAGATGCGGTGAGTGGATAGAGCAATGAGCGATTAGAAGGAAATGTGCTTCAGGGGACTTGGAAAGCAAGCTGTTGGATGCTGGCTGAAAAGATGTGACCTTACCCTCTGGAGGAAACATAGCGGAGTATTTGCTGTGTCGGGCGGCACACAGAATAAAGAGTCAGGAAGTCACATGAGGCAAACTCCACAGAGATTTTTGAGACAGTAGAAGCATTTCCATTCCTTGCTAAATCAACATAAGAAATCTCTAAAAGCAGCTGTGTCTTCCCTTAAAAGCTGGGGAGCTATTCTAAAACACATTCCCCAACATGTGTTATACTCCATGTCATCCCAGTCGCTCCTGAAATAGCAGGCCGCTTTGAGAAAGTATAAATTCGGTAGTCAAATGGTTTTGGAAAATGCTGTTTAAGATAAACAAAGTTCCTTAATTAGTTGACTTCCCAAAACTTTTGACATCCTACCAGACATGAGTCTCCAGAAAAGAGGCACAGTATGCCAAAGTCAATAGACAAATCTGACTCCAGACCACCTTTTATAAAGCACCCCGTGACATGCCGCGAAACAATTTGAGGCCGTACTACTGCAAAACAACAAAATAACTGTAAAAAACCATACTGTGTAACAGATGTGTCTCTCATGGCTGCTCACTGTAGAAAACTTGAGAATTACAAAGGAGAGAAAAAATATCCGAGCTCAGCACTAAGAATTAACTCCTTTTTATTTTAACATCTTGGCGTCTCTACACTGGGCCTTTTTCTGTGTGCATCTCTTTGTTAATAGACCGATCATTGTCTGCCTGTAGGTATGGATAGCTGTAAACTGTTGTCTTTTTCTTCTTTAGACTCTACCATCAGTATATCCAGAATTCTTTGGGGCTTCCTAATTTATATAGTGATGTTCTTTTAAAAATCTTTATTTTGGATTAATGCAGATTTACAAAAGAATTGTAAGGAGAGTATCGGCTGTGTCTTTCTTGTCTAATGCTACCCAATCTCACCATGAAGCATTCACTAGCAGTCAGAGTGAACACATCACTGCAGACATTGTTTTTCCAAGAGTATTCAAGAACTACTTTGGGATGTCACATCCCTATCCTGTCCCCTTAGTGTGCTCTGGGCTGTGACAGTTTCTGTCTTTCCTCATTTGTCCTGATTTTTCTGAAGATTTCAGAAACGTCCCTCCATGTGTGTGTGGCGTTTTTCTGACAATTACTCTTCACTGGTGGCTTTCTGTGGTGACACTTGGTCCTTCTTAAACACGTGGCAGTGTTGTACACGAGCCCAGATGAAGCCTATCTTCTGATGGCTACTTGATGACCTGAGTTAGCCAGTGCCTAAGAGGTCTCATCACTGAGTTCCCAGTCGTTCTCCTCTTCACACTCTATCCTCTGAAAGAGCTTTGTTAAAGGCAGAGAGGGAGCAGTTCAGTTCCGTCCCCTACTAGAGGAGAAACTACAGCGAGTACTAAAACTCTGTAAATCAAACTGGCTGCTTCCTTCATTTATTTATTCAGTCATCATGTATATAACTATGGATTCATGTATATTTATTGTGTACTTTGGATGATGAAAAATACTGTTATTAACTTTATTGTTTAAATTAAGGTTTGATTGGCTTTGGGAGCTCTTTGAGGCTGGCTCCTGGTTAGATATGCCTCCATTCTTCTGTGCTTTCTGGATACCTTACTCTCTGGAGCTTTTCCTATCATATTTTCACTGCCAAGCCCCAGAATCAGACATTTTTTCTAAGATGCCTTAGTTCTATGTGGTATCTGGAAAAGAAGGTCTGGGCACTGAGCAGTGAGTTACTCCTGGAACGTTCCTGATTCTGGAATGTTGGAAGACAGGGACAGATGATATACATGCATACATACATACATAATGCCATGCATATACAACTGACTATAGCCATTTCCTCATATATAGTTAAAGTGAACTCATACAGATGTCTCCAGCTCTAATCCAGGACCAGAGAATTTATTACAGCCATCCATCTTGTTTGCTGACAATCTGAACCTTAACTCCAGTCTGTTCAAATGTATATGATTTGTTATAATGAGTTCAGGGGTAGCCTAAACTCTGTCTCAAAATCTGCTTCAGATCTATTCATTCATTTGGGACCTTTAAACTGTGGATGTTATGTTTCCTGTGGCTTATTATATGTTGTCATCCTTGAGTATTCCTTATATATTCAATTAATTGATAATTTTTATTATAAAATGATGTCGAATTTTATCTAATTGTTTTCCATCTATTGAGATGATCATGGAATAATAATAATAATAATAATATTTACTGATGTGTATAGATTGAACTGTCCTTTCATTCCTGGAATAAAGTTTACTTGATTGTGGTATATGATACTTCCTTTAACTTGGTCTGCTACTGTTTTGTTGGAGATTTAAAAGGTGATATTCATCAGGAATTTTGACAATATTTTCCATTCTTGCATCACCTTTGATTTGGTTTAGACTAAGGCTGGCCTCACAAAATGAGTTTGAAAGTGTTTTTTCCTCTTCAGCATTCTGGAAGAAAGTTGGTCATGGTGTTTATCAGAACAGAAAGCAGACTATAAGTATCCGATGTGGATCTGTCTGCTAGCAAACATTTTTGTTATTTTAAAGCTATTAACATAAGAGTGACATTGACGTAATTGAATTAAAATATTCTGTCTCCAACTGTGGTACTTGTCCTCTCTTTCTCTCTTTGCCTTTCTTCTCTGATTTTAATAAGCATCTTTATGATCCTACCTTATCTCCTCTACTGAGGGACTTACTTTCCTTTGAAGATTATTTTTAGTGTTATCTAGAGTTTAATAATCTTTATCCACCTGCAAATCACGTACTTCCTGTATCATCCGAGAGCCTTACGTCCTTGGATTTCATGGCGTTTCTCCCGCCAGGTTACTGCTGTCCTATGTGTCGTATTTTCTTATATTCTGCTGTGAATACTAGTGCCTTGCTGGACTGACTTACACACTTGTCTCTTTGTAGTATTAGTGACAGGACTGTTAGGTTTTGCTTTCCATGTCTAGTGTTCTTTCTTTGTACAGATCTAAATTCTTAATCTTTGTCGTACATTTATGAATTTTAACAGTCTGTAGGGCAGGGCTTCTGGCAGCAGAGTCCTTCAGCGGCTAACCTGCTTCCATCCTTTCAGAGAGCCTCAGTCCTGTGTCCTTAGAGGACCTTTTCTCTGGTGCAGGTTCATGAGGAGAGAGCCGAAAGCTCTCTGGAGTATCTTAGGAGGACACTTTTCCTGTCGGGTTATCTGCTCCTCCCTCCTTACGTAACTCATCCACTGGCGTAGGTCGTCGACTGGCACATTAGTGTTAGGGTTTCAGCATAAGGACTTGGGTCTCTAACAGTGGACCAGAGGAGTTTCTTCAAGACTGCCTCATGCTTACCTTCTTGAATACGATTCATCCAGATGTGGTTTATTTGTTAGGTAGCTTGCCTTGCTTAGTAGTTTTAAGCTTCTTCGATATAGTTTTGTGTTTTCTCAAAAAATTTAAAAATGCTTTTACCCATTGTTCTTCAAATATTCCAGCTGCCTCTCTTGATTCTCCTTCCCGATTCCCAGTCATGCAGGTGTATTTTTTCAGCTGTACAGTTTTTCACTTTGCGACTTCACAGTTACTGTGACTTCCTTGCTCTTATTTTCAGGTCGCCCGGCTCTTCTTCAGCTATTTCATCTAGTCATCACTAACTGAAGGCCTCTTCATTTCTGTCACCTCGTTTTTAACTTCTGTTTTGAACTTTAGATTTTCATGTCTACTACACTTACCTATCTGACATTGAATGATGTCCACCTTTCCCACTGGAGTCTCTAACACTGTCCACATTATTTAAAATTCTGGTAGCGTCATCGTCTTTGTCATATCCGTGTCTTGTTCTGGTGATTGTTTTATCTTTCCAGAAATTATTCTTATCTTTTGGCATATTCTTGTTGAAAGCCAGACATTTGCTTAGGACAACAGAAATTTAAGTATGTAGGGCTTTATTGTGGAGATCTGTGTTAATCTAGGCAGGAATCAGGCTTTGTTTGATGTTAATTGTTGCTGTGGTTACCACCATTGGCTTTTGTTGTTGCTATGGACACCAGAGGCTTCACTTTTTCAGTGCCTTTGGTTTTGGGTCTTCACTTTGTGTTGCTCTGCAGAGGCCTTGTCCTTTCCAGGTCCTCCTAACATAGTGTTTGTAAGTAGGAGCTGAGGTGGGGGTGGGGGAAGCAGGCCCTCCCGGCTCTGGCTCTGGAGTTTCTGCTCCTGCTGTACAGGTTGAGCTATCATTGTCACCTCTCTTCCCTCCTTGCTCTGTGACTGAAGACCTTCCCCCTTCCCTGGCAGCAGCAGTTGATTGGTGGGAAGGGATCTCACCTGGCAGCCTGCCCAAAGTGCCCTCCCTAGCCACAGTGGAGGCTCCCCACTGTTCTCAGGTGCTCCCTGCAGATAGAGTTTCATTCTCAGAGGAAGAATGCTCTGGGCTGCTGTGCAGTAAAAAGCACTGGCTGCTCTTCCAGAGGACCCAGGGTTCAATTCCAGCACCCACATGGCAGCTCACAACTGTCTGTAACTTCAGTTCCAAGAAATCCAACACCCTCAATTGCAGGCAAAACACCAATGCACATAAAAATAAAAGTAAATAAAGTAAAAAACAAAGAATGCTCTGGCAGATTTCAGCCTGTTGCTCCTCTCTCCTCTCTCCCAGCCAGACTATGTAAAATGTGAAAGCATTTGGGGTTCAGAGGGGAAGTGTACACAAGAGTGGGACCACTCTCAGGAGCCTTACCCTTTGCCCAGTGCTCACCCTCAAACCAAGCACTTCACCAAAATTTCAACTCTAGCAACTCAGTACCTGGTAGTTTCTGCATTCTCAGGGAAGCAGACGCTTCAATGCCTCCTTAATCATGACTGTCCCTCCAGTTTGGGGGACAATTACATGCCTCAGATCAATTCACAAAAAGACATTAGCTCTGTTCTCTGTCCAGCTTTATTCTTGTTGGAAGCAAAATGCTTGAACAGACGAAAAATGATTGAAAAAAAATTTACTGGCCAGAAGAGTGTTTTATCTCACTCTACCAAGCCCAAACCTTTCCTTTTTAGAAATGCCAGCCCATAGCGACAGACACAAAGCCTTTTCATGTAGACCAGCTTCCATTCACTCCGGAACCACCTAAATCTGAGATCGGTGCATTCGCAGAGTGGCTGTGATCGAGCCTTCCGTGACAGTGATTTCAGCTCTAGAGCGCATGTGTCCGGTGTCTCCTTTGCCTTCTGTGTGAGCATGCTGTGCACAGTGTGCTTGCCCACTTGTTTGTCACGTGGTCTTACTACTTTTGAGGCATCATCTTCTGCACAACAGCTCCTGGCTTCCTTGTAGACTTCCTATAGCTGATCCAGATACACAGCCTCCAAGGCCATGGTGATGCTATTCCTATAGACAACAAAAACTTGGTGGCATTCCTGAACCAGTACCTGCTGTGACTTCTCTGTCAATTGCACATGGCTGACTGTCCTTGAGGGAAATCTGGTTTAACTTCTTTTAGTTGGCAGGGTTTTTCTGCTCATTGAATTTATCAGCAGACCGTCCAGCAGAGGTACCGTATTTTCTAATTAGATGAGCAGTCCTACTATTGCTATGACAGATTGGTTCAGGGACAATCACATATATTTCTCTGCATGCAGAATGTAAGATAAGCCCAGTCATGTGTGTGGAAAAGGACATGTGCCTTAGTTTGGTTTTGTATTGCTACGATAAAGACCATAACCAAAAGCAGCTTGGGGAAGAAGAGTTTGTTTGACTCATGGGTTACAGACCATTATTAGGGAAGCCAAGGCAGGAACCAAAGCAGTGATAATGGAGGACTACCGCTTCCTGGCTTGCTTCTCATGGTGTGCTCACCCTGCTTCTTATGTACCACCCAGGACCACTTGCCCAGGGGTGGCCCTGCCCACAGTGAGCTGGGCCCTCCCATGTTGTGGAATATTATTTTAACTAGGCAAATCTGTGTTACATTTGTTTATTCTGCAAAATGTTACTTTAACTGTATAAAGGTGTGTTACTTTTATTTATGCTGCAGTTTTTCGCCTTGACTGCCTAAGGCACCTGATTGGTCTAATAAAGAGCTGAATGACCAATAGCTAGGCAGAAGAGGGATAGGTGAGGCTGGTGGGCAGAGAGAGTAAATAGGAAGAGAAATCTAGAAAGAAAAGGAGAAATGAGAGGAGGAGGAGAGAACAAGGGACCCCCCCCCCAAAAAAAAAACCTCCCAGGGCAAGAAGCCAGCATGCACAGCCAGCAGATGCCAGGAGCAGTGAAAGTAAGATAGAAAGGAAGAAAGGAAGAAAGGAAGGAAGGAAGGAAGGAAGGAAGGAAGGAAGGAAGGAAGGAAGGAAGGAAGGAAGGAAGGAAGGGAAAACTAAGAAGCCCCAAGGCAAAAGGTGGATGAAGAGAAATGGGTCCATTTAAGTTAAAAGAACTAGCCAGATGAGAGCTAAGCTAAGGGCGAGCATTGTGTTGTGATTTGGGAGCTGGTTGGTGGCCCCAAAGAAAAAGCCTGGTACTCTCGCACCTCTATTCAAGACAATGCACCACTGACTTGCCTACAGACAATCTGATAGAGACGTTTTCTCAGCTGAGGGTCCTCTTCCCAGATATCCCTAGCTAGTGTCAAGCTGGCAAAAGACTGATCAAGACAATATGTAATGTTAAGTTTTAGGACAAGGGAAGTCTTCAGGGAAAAGACCATGATAAAATAAAATATCTTCTTATATGCTAGTCTTTGCTCTGGGTGTTGGAACAAAGCAGTAAGGACAGACATCATCCCTGCCTTTAGAAACCACCTATGCCCGTTTGGAAAAGAGGTAATGGGGTCAACACCTAAAGAAGTAGGCAGGGGAGAGTCGTGCAGGAAACAAGATGGGAAAACTCTTCTGAGCAGATGGTATTTGAGCTGCTGGAGGCTTCTGCAAGACGCACGAATGCATGTCAGATATCTGTTAGGCACACACAGCTGACAGAGAAGCTTGACCATCAGGATGGGAATATGGAATCTAGAAGTTTCAAGTATGTCGGTGTTTTTAACACTCTGGAAGTGACTAGAATCAATCTGGCAGGGGCATTGTCTGGACAGAGATGAAAGCTCAGGACCACAGCCTAGGATGCGTGAATATTTTTCCAGAGGACCCAGGAGAATCTACAGTTACAACACTGAGAGATGTGTTTGTGTGAGGGGAGGAGTAGGGGACCCAACGAAGTGTGACTGAGCGCAGTTCTGAAGGAGACAAGTGACTCTTTAATTTGGAAACATAGGCATCATTCATGGCCTGGACGAGAGCGCCTTCTGTGGGGACGTGCGATTTTCCAGTGAAATGAGGCTAGGTGAGGAATAGAGAATGCATTGAATCCAGTGGGTCAAAGGGACTTTTGTTAGTGCTTATATTTTGGTTTTATTTGCTTTTAAATTGGCATATCCAGCATGTTTCTGTTTTGATTCCCATGATCCAGTGTGAAGATATTAGTGTCAGAAGGTGTTGAATGCCCTATACTTCCTGTAACATACTGTGATCCTTGATCTTTCTCTCAAGACATAGTGGATGATACAGATAAACATTTAGATGAGACATTGTTTTTGCACATCATTGGTATTTATGCAAAATATAATTTAAATCAGAGAGAAACTCATATTTAATATTGCTTCTTAACCCGAGGGAACTATGTGCTCTTTAAAACCCTTGTGTAGATCCCCAATGTAAATGCTTTCTCAAAGCAGAATCGTACCATGTCAGTGTCTCAGCCAGGTGCATACAGCTGCCATTCACTTCCTGTACAAAGAAGTGGAAGATAAATGTGAGGTCATGCAAGTGGGTTCTTCAGACTGAGCCCGAGGGCTTCTCCAGAGGGTGGAAATCCGGCTCTGGTGTCTGCAAGCCACCATTGGTGCAGGAACAGTTCCCTCCCTCCATGTGGAAACACCCCATTTCTGTCTCCTCGTTTATTCTTTTTTTTTTTATTTATTTATTTATTTATTTATTTATTTATTTATTTATTTATTTATTTATTTATTTATTTATTTATTATGTATACAACATTCTGCCTCCATTTATGCCCGCACGCCAGAGGAGGGTGCCAGATTTCAGTACAGATGGTTGTGAGCCACCATGTGGTTGCTGGGAACTGAACTCAGGACCTCTGGAAGAGCAGCCAGCGCTCTTAACCTCTGAGCCATCTCTCCAGCCCTCCTCGTTTATTCTTTACCCTCCTTTTACTACTCATGAAGAAATGCTTGCCTATGGTTTTTATATCTGCCTTCCATTCAAGACGGATCTTGAGTGTCTGAAATAAAGACTATAAAGGTTATTTTGATGTAATGTCTTAAAGAATGTAGACATTTTGTTTTCAGGAGCTTGCAGATGTGTGATTGAATTGGAAGATGAGAACACTCCCCGTTCCCTCTTAGAAATACTCCGATTCTGTTTCTCTCTTTCCCTCCCTCTTCCCCTTCCCTCCCTGCTGCTTCTTGCAGAAGGCTCAGGCACACAGAGTAGCTTGTTGAATCAACCTTTTTACCACTGTCCTTTTCATGACATGAAATTAGAGAATGAAAAAGGAACTTGAATGCTGTCGTATTTCTGCCCCACAAGTGACGACTGTGAGGGCAGTCTGCAGTCAGCCCGCAAAGCTCAGCCTTGCTATATCTCAGGAGACTTTTCTCGTCCACCTCCACCTCAGGCTGCTTTTACTAAAAGAAAATAGATAGATCATGGTATCTGTAGGGTGACCATTGCATTCCTGTCGTCTTTCTCAGGCACACCACTCACAGGTGTATGCCTTCTGTGAGAAGCACAAGGTGTCTTTTGTCTCAGGGAACCACCAGGGGTAGTTAATCTTTCTGCTCTGGACAAAAGGCTGTTTGATGATGATAAATACTTTTAGCTTATATCTGGGCTTACTGTTCACTTAGGCAACTCGGTGCTAAGAATATTCTTCTCGACTTCCAGTGGGGCTGTCATTTGACCATTATTTATATATAAGGCTCTACGTCATAACTCTAGTAAAGGTGTACATTGCTGGGTTTTCTGTAGTAATAAGGGAAAGTTCCTGATTTTTCTCTTGACTTTTTAGTAATGAGGGGAGTAAAGCTCATTTCTATGAACATTATTGAATAAACCTAAGAATACACAGCTTAGATTGACATAGAGCACACAACCAACTTTTTCAAACCCTTTTAGCAATATTCTTTAAGTGTGTGTGTGTGTGTGTGAGTGTGTGTGTGTGTGTGTGTGTGTGTTTGGGCATGTGTGTGCACCCGTGTGTGCACGCAAATGTGTGTGTTCCAGAGTTCTATTATAATAACCAGCACACTATTTTATTAGTGGTTATGTGTTAAACTCATTGGCTTTTTATTTAAATGAAATTCTTCAGGTATTTTTAATCATGGAATTTTTCGCTTCTTTTTTTTTCCCCCAGAAAGAACTAGAGAAACTGAAGAGAATGAAGAGAAATCAAGAGCTGGAAGCAGTAGCCAGAGATCACTATGAAAAGGTCTTGCTAAGGAAGAAAGGCCTGGAGCCCTGGAAGAGACTGAGAATGCAAAGCAAGGAAAGCATGGAGGTACGCCATCATATCATACCCCAAATCAGAAAGTAGACCTTTCGCGGATACATGCTTTAGCCTAGAGAGTGTTTAGTGCTTTTAAAGAGCCAGAAAAATGCCAGGTGGTGGGTGGCACACACCTTTAATCCCAGCACTCGGAGGCAGAGACAGGCAGATCTCTGAATTTGAGGCCAGCCTCGTCTACAGAGAGATTTCCAGGACAGGCTCCAAAGCTACACAGAGAAACCCTGTCTCACAAAAACAAAATGAAACAAAACAAAAAGCAGAAAGATAACTGGTTTGAGTACGTACATTTCTGTTTTGAGTAAAGAGTTTGATTTGGTAATCTAGATACTTGTAATTTAAGGGGTTTTGGAAACTAGGGTGGTTTTATTAGAGATCACCGCTGCAGGAGGAATAGAGGCGACTCAGTTTTAGCATGGTTTACAGCAGAAAGTGGGAAGTGGCTGGATTACTATGATAAAGTCCATAGACAACCCCGAAATCTCAGTCCGTTACAATTCATGCTCAATTCTCAGGAGTCTGCAGGCCAGTATAGGTTCCGTCCCAGGCTCTCCCTAGTCCTACGCACTGGATCTGGAGCTACTTGGGTTGTGCCTTCCGCCTAGCAATTAACTAGCAGATGGACCAAGCCCTGTTGTGAACCCCTCCTGTCCATCACCAGGACTTGGCTCTGGAGTCCTTGCTTTCAAGGTCCTCGTGACCTCCATCACGACTGAATACAGACTGTACAGTAGGTCATAAGTAAAATTTATTGCAGAATAAAATAGAGAACACCCTCCCAGGGGTGGGAGTCTACAGTGGCCAGAGAGACCACACGGTCCCACTTCAGTTTAAGGCAGGTATTTGATTTATAAAGGCTGTAAAAAAAATACCCAAATACACATATACATAATGAAAATAGAATAAATAATAGATAACTTTTTTATTAGTGACAGTCTGCTCGTTTGGAATGTCATGTCTCTTTCCAGGGCAGAAGTTATGTTCAAATCCCGTTCTTCATTCTTTTGAGTGATAATCAGCCCCATAGCTCTAGGCCATGGATTTATAAACTGCTCATTATGACGTGAAGGTTCATTCCCAGGCTGCTAATTTAACTAGCTGCTAACACTGCCCACTAGTATTTCATTGAACAGAGCACAGTCACATGGCCAGGCTCAAGGTCACTAAGAAGGAACGAAGCTCCATCTACTCCATTGGGAGGTTCTGTAAAATTACATTGCAAAGAGTACATAATGCTATCACAGAGAACAGCAATCTGCTCTGCCACAGGAATCCGTGAAATCCAACACCAATGAAATGTCTCAAATTCCCTTGACAAATTTGCTCAGGACTTAGAACAGGGCATTCAAGTCAATGATCAAGAAGTTCAGAACAGATGGAATGTTAGTCTGCATTTGGCTGCCAGGGCTGCATGTGTCATATAGAGTCCCCTGTGATACCATTTCGAGGATCTGCTTGGATGAAACAGGTTCACAGTGCTGGGTGACTAGATGAGACCTGGGAAACGTGTCACTGTCTCTAGAGGTCTCTTCTCCTGTCAAAGGAACATAACAGTCTCTCTTTTACACATAAAAGCTAAGTTGTATTTATTTGGGATGATACTCCCGGCCACTTAAATTGGTAAGACATTAAAATATTCATCATGTTATTTTTGAATCAATGGTTTGTGGTTTATTGATAATGTCTAAATTTCAATCCTGGTGACAGTTCAATCTATAACACTAATTGAAAGCATCGGCATTTCCTCGTTAGACGTGGTTAAGTACATAGTAAAGAGCCGTCTGTTGTGGAATTGCTGTCCAGGTTCCAGGAGAGCAAACTAAGAGCACTGCCAGCCCCAGGCCAGGGTTAGTGGACATGAAGTGATGTCGTGGAAGCTGCTTATTCCATTTCCATAACCAGCGAATGCCTGCGACCTCCAGGGAGTCAGCACCCTGTGAATCTGTGACCTCCACAGAACAAGGACAATAGACTACAGGCAACTCAAGATTATTATACACAATCCACATAACTATCTACACCTGCTGTGTACTATCATTTCCTAGCTGTGTGTTCCCTTAAGTGATTTAAAATCTAAGGAATGGTGTTCCTCTTTTCATTCAAACATTTTCCAGGTAGCAGAAGAACATTACTCTTTGGCTCTTCAACGAAAATGCCTGCTCACTTGGTTCCAGTGCAGCCAGGAAGCTCTGGCTGTGAGAACAGCCCAGGCTGATCAGCTGTATTCCCAGCTACTGTGTAGAAGAGTCCTCCGAAGCTGGTTCCAGGTATGGACACGGGGAAAGGACTTTAAATGCATCTCCTTGAGCCATGTGAGATGATGACACATGCTTATGATCTCAGCACTTGGGAAGTTGAGGCAGGAGGACAGCAATTAATTCAGGGCTAGTCTAGAGTATATAGTAAGACCTTGCCTCAGAAAATCAAAACTAAGTAAATACATCTCCTTGTTCAACTCCCCAATAAAAAAAACTGAATAGCCTTCATAATGCCAGTCACTTTGGTTTTCCAAAAAGAGTCACAAATCCAGTTCATTCCTTTAAAATGTTGTCAACTTTGGTTAGTATTAAATCCCAAGCACATGATGCTTTTCCCATAAAGTCTGTGTGTTTATATTATAATGAATCCTTACTTCATCTTTTGTGTTTTATAGTCCTTGGGTTGTTTGTTTGTTTTTGTTTTGGTCACACAGTACTTAGGTTGATTTTGAAACCTCTGATCAATCTTACACCCGTTTCTACTCCTGAATTGCTGTTATTGTTATAGTGCACTGCAGAAGATATTATTTTGGCTGCCTTACTATCTTTCAGCCTTTTGCATCTTTTACTGTTTTGCTTTATATGTTGTTTTGGTTCTCTCCCATTTGGTTTTTGCTTGTTTGCTTGTTTTGTTTTTTACTTACTGTACTTGTCCACTGATACTATATTTCTCTCATCTTTAACTGTGTCTTCACCCACTAGTATGTCGATGATCTGGAGAAAGAAGTAAGAAAACTCTGTGCCCACTTACTGCAGAAGAAGGTTTTCAGGGCCTGGCTGACCATGGTCAGGGAGCTGAAGATCGAATCCCAGAGGAAACTTGAGATTGCAGCAGAACACTGTGACAGGTAAGGCTCGGCACCTGTGCCCACTGACTCTCCAGCCACCTGTACCATATTCTACTGCTGCTGTGAAAAGCTGAGGTGGAGGCTGCGAGAGCTGGGCCCTCCCAACTCACAGGCAAGAATAGCACTGGAAATCAACCATAAAATTACGAGGAAGCCTGTCCTAGCCACCTAGGGCTGGCAGGGACCGAATGTGAGCATCATGGGACATATCTGGACATATGTGTTCCTTATTAGTCACACAGTTTCATTTTCTAGGGATTTTTTAATGTGTATGATACAAATGTGTAAGTACCACATGCATGCATGGTGGCCACGGAGGTCAGAAGAGGGCATCGGATCTAGAGTGTTGTGAGCCACCATGTGGGTGCTAGAAACCAAGTTTGGGCCCTCTGCAAGAGCAACAAGTACCCTTAACACAGAGTTTTGTGTTTTAGTTTGACTTTTTAAACACTGTGAAATACAGCACAAATTTAAGTGTGTAATCCATACAGAGGCAGGAATTACTAGACACCCGTGTCACAATTGAGGTCAAAGTTGAACATCACTGTCCCACAGGCCCCTTCCTCATCACAAGTCCCTCCTCCAGCTAAGGACATTTGTACAGTGACAGAGCATGTAGTCCCTCCTAAGCACGTAGCCTGTGACTCTATGGGATAGCTTCTCCTTGTTTTGAATTGTGTGTGTAAATGTATTATTAGTTAATGTTTAAAATACAATTAAGTCTTATTTGTAGAGAAATAATGTAATCCACACAAATATAAACAAGTGTGTATGTGTTCTCTGACTAGAACTTCCCTAGGCATTTGTACAGGAAAAGCCTTTCTGATGGTCAGGTGTCACTCCTGGGAAGCAGTTAGTGTAGTACGCATTTGCAGCAGCCCCTCTGAGACATGGAGGCTTATGGGGTGTGGAGTCACCCTCTCCTCCCGGCCTCACATTTATTTTTGGATGCTTTGTTTTCTCTGTGTATATGCATATCTCTTGCACATCTTGTACACCAGGACATCCACTCCTAGCAAAAACTGTTTGTTCTTGGAATCAGTAGGCAGGGAATAGACTAACAAGTGTGTTATAATTTGGTCCAAATAAAGAACTATGCAATAACTGACAGTGTCCAAGGGACTTAGCTTTGGATACATGTGTCCGCTGCAGAGTAAGGCTAGGATTCAGTGTCTGTGTGACTCTGGATTCATAACCTTTGAATCTTCTGTCATAGGGCCGAGATGGCGTTTACCTAGTGGGTAAAGGTGCCTGCCACCAAGCCTGATGGCCCCAGTTCACTGTGGGTCCTTAAACCTACAGTCATAGTGTGGCATGTGCACACCCACATACATACATACACACAACACATGATAAATAAATAAAACCTTTAAATAAGTAAGAACAGAATTTGCCCTCAGGGCTGCTGTGAGGACCAAACAAAGAAACAGTAATGTATTAATGCAGGGCTCAGCCCAATCCGAGTGGGTTGATCCAAGTTCCGTGCCTGTGGATGTGGATCCAGCCTCCTTCTACCTGCTCAGTTGTCTCTCTCGACCTGAGGATTCATTTGGGGTTTTCACGGGCCATGTCTTATGATCACTGTAATGACCCCGGGGGAACAGCGTATCCCCCATGTATAAATAACACACAGCAGGCAGCTCCCAGGACTCCGCACAGGGTTTTCTCGCTCTAAGTCACTCTGCTCTTGATACATCTGCCCTCTCATTTTCCTTTGTCACTGTCATGTGTAAGCTGTGAGATATGACAGCAAGACAGTGCTCCTTTTCAGGGTCTGGAGTGTGAAGACTCTGCAGTCAACAGGAAACGAAGCTCGCCTGCTATAACTGTGTCTCTACCACTTTGTTCCTTGTTCCTGGCTCCTCTGTTTCTGCCCCACTGGCCTCATACTCTGCCCCTCAGAGGCAAAGTTCAACTCAGCTTTGGGCAGACACAGTCTTATCCTTGGCGCCGTTCAGCTCTGCCCAGGTGGCACCCACTGCACAGCAGCCTGCTCAGTATATCTAGCCATTTCTGTGCTGTTTATTTACCTAGAGCAAGCAGAGATTTCCAAAGAGCAGAATAGGAAGAGCCAAAGCCTAAGAGTCAGAAATCCTAGAGTACAGTTAGGGGAGAGGAGGGGTCAAGTCAAGCCCAGGGTGGGCCCTAGAGGCGACCACGGGAATCTCCGGTGGGCTGAGTGGGTAGAAACTGAATGCAGGGAAGCAGCTCTGCTCATTGGGACCTCCTTGTTTTAAAAGTAATGTTTTTGCCAACAAAAGCCAACATTATCTAAAACATCAGCCAACCAACAGCCATAGAATTAATGACTGAGGTGCATTCTGGGGCTTCGTTAGCTGGCCAAGAGACCAGAGCAAATATCACTGCCTCAAGCTTTACAAACAGCCGCAACCCTGTGCCTGTGTTCCAACTGTAACTGTGTGACTCCTCGCCTTCCCTCGAGGCCTGCCTTCTCCAGTTCAGAGGCAGTGCATTTCAACACCTCGGGTGTTCCTCCCTCACTGTCCCTTCCCACAGCGCTGACTCTGACAGGCTAGCTGCTAATGGGCAGGCATTAGGCCTCACCCCAGCATGTCCAGTGCAGAGCTGGTGTAGGCACTGGTCAGTCCTCAAAAGGCACACATGCTTCCCAAGGACAGCACTGTTTCAGCATGTGCCCGCCCCCATCACCATCTTTCCATACTTGGTATTTAGCATATTTTTTTCTCAACTGAATTAGAGATGCTTTCTGTTGTAGATGGGGGTGCGCTTACCAGGCAAGCTTTAAATTAGGCCTCAGTGCCCTAAATTAGCTCTTCCAGATATAGTTTTTACCTTGATGGCTGTCTGCCCACCCATCACAACTCCTGGTCCGGGTTGGTCAGTGACAGGCTGTGAGCAGATGAACCAAGAGGTCCCAAAGCCTGCACTGTCAGCACTGGGCTCTGTGCAAATGGCATCTGATTACAGTTATCCCCGTCCATTCTCCTTTAATACACTGTGCTGGAATCCCCATTGATTTCCACCTCTCCCCTAGAATAGCACTGTGTACTGTTGGAATCCCCATTGATTTCCACCTCTCCCCTTTTCTCCTTGAAGGAAGCTTCTCAGTGTCACACTTCAGACATGGAAGGCATTTGTAAAATTTACCAAAGAAGAAAGGGTGAAAGAGGAACGGCGAGACCAACTTCGTCGGAAGGTGGCTGACATCCTTCCGGACTTCCAGATACTGACACCATTGTGACAGCTGTGTACCAGTAGCTACGTGCTTGTCCTCAAGGAAGTCTTTGGTGCCAGGATCCACCCACCTACACACCTACCTGAACCTGGTTTACTTTCTAGAATGTATAGGCCAGCGGGATTATCTTGGGAAATTGTTCTTCCTTCTTGATCTTTCCTGGGTTGTTAGGCAGCTGTCTATCACAGTGGGGTCATCCAAAGGAGCAGTCTAGAGCACCACTGTTCTGTGTATTTTATATATTTTTAGCATAATAAAGTTTAAAAAGGACGAGGGTTTGCCTGCCTGGACTTGTGAAGAAAGATGTGTCCTTATCACTTACTGTGAGGTGCTGGTTAAGTGGAAGACTGGATGGAAACAGAAAGCAGTGAGGACCTAGAAAAGAAGGGAGGGGCAGCCTATGTTCTAGGACCACAGCATGAGTGACAAGTGCCCGACAGGGCCCAGCCTACCCAATGGCAAACACCGCTGCAGCACAGCACAGCGGCCCATCCTGAGTTCAGAGCATCTAGGACGCCCAAGCACCTTGCTGAGCATGACGGAAACTCCAAACACTAGTAACAGCTCCAGCGAGGACCACCCAGCCCCTCATCAAAATGCCTAGCCATGCTCCCAACTGCAGCTTCTAAGTAATCCATCTGCTTTGTCTGCTTGGCCTGGCAACTTAGACTGAATTCAAAGAATGTTCTAATATTTAGGATTCTATAAAGATTGATCAAATGTTCCCTTCTGTGAACTTTTTTACACAGAATCATCTGCTAGGAATTTTTCCCATTATGAAACATATCTTTATTATGACAAATTCAAACAGTCTACAAACGCACACAGTAAAATGAGAAAGATGGTGGTGCTCAGGACATCTGAACTGGTAGACTAGTGAGCGTGCTTGATTCAGCATCGTGCAGTGCAGACTCTGGTCCTTTTGTCATGAAAGATGTGGAGGGTGGGCTGAGAGACAACAGAACGGCAGAACTGCAACCCGGCCACACACCTTCTTCTTTAACATCACCATGCGGCTGTCATCCAAAAACACAAGTGCTTTGAAGACCAATGGCCAAGAGAATGGGACTGAAATCATATTTATTCTCATTCCATCTAAACCACTGTTTATAATTATAGCACAATCATGAAAATATTGGCCAGTAACAACTAAACACAAATCAAAGCCACACACAAATATTAATTTAATGACAAGCCTGAAGAAAAGGGTGAGGTCTTTCAATAAACATGTCCTAAGTAAGTCATATAAAATTAAGTTTTCTATCTTAAACTTTATCTTGCTTCACCCCAAACACCAACCATGCTTCTCTGGGACACATATTTTGACTAGGCCACAGTACCAGCTTATAGACCCTTCTACAAGGATCAGACTCCTGACGGGCCATGATGAAGATATGGTCTGAAACATGACTGCTAACTGGTGCCTTTATAAACAGTATCTGATCTACAGAACCAGGGAGGAAAAGAGGAAGGTGAAATTCAGGGTCAGCGAAGGACCACGGGTGGGGACAAAGTTGTCAGGAGGTCACGCAGCTTAGGGTTTTCTTAAGGCAAACCATTTCAGGACACACCAAGAATCACCAACTGTTTCTGTAAAGAAAGCACTTTATTTCCTTTTAAACAACTTGTCACAGGACTTTATTTTGCACAAATGGCAGTGTTTAGTAAAATCTCCATTTAAAAGGCTTTGCTTCTGAGCTGAGGTGGCAGGCCATGGACACAGACACAAAAAAAGTGCAGCTGTCCCCTCAGCCTCCAGCCTGTTGATGGGCCATCCATATTAAATATTGAATTTAATGTTAAATTCATTCCTGGATTTCTCTTAGTCTAACACCAGATCCTGAAATTAGATCCGATGCAAAGGTCCCTGAGCCCTAACAAATCATCAAATCACCAGCCCCTGGCACCATGAATGGAGCTTGTCAATGGCTTTGCCTGAAAAAAAAATCCAAGTTCTACTTGGATCATTAGAACAAACCGTCTCTGGTTTTAAAGCTTTGCCTTTTAGATATGAATTTCTAAAGGTGAACTGTGCCCCAGGAAGGCTCAAGCCCAGCGTGGAGCAAGGCTGCTTTGCTCACCATTCCCGCTGTCCCACAGTGGATGCTCAGAGCCAGCTCCAGTGCAGCAGGACATGGGGAGTTCCATGTGGTGCTCAGTTCAGTTAACATGGTTTTCACTCTTGCCCACACGACGACCTCTGCGTGTTTAAACTGCTGCTAAGCAGACCAGATTCTAAGCAGGTGCCTCCAGCGCAAGTCACATCCACTACTTGTCTGGAAGAAAGTCTCATTTTTAAAAAGTATGGCTAACAAAGTGAAGTCCCAGAAGCCCACTCGGCTAGTTTAAAGAGATGGGCGAGTGCACAGAACGTTTCTTCTAAACTTTGAGGGTGAAGCTCTGCGTCTACAGCTTTTTGCTTCTGTTGGTTGAGCTTTCTATAAAAAGCAGATGTCCTACCAAAGGAAGTAAGTCTGTTGGGCAGATATCAGCATTACACAGGCTCTTACTGGCGTTGTGTTTTCTGGCAGTGGAAGGTTCTGGTATACAAAGTTTCCTTTTGCTAAAAATATTAGAAGTATCGAGAACTATTGCATAAGAGAAGTTTTCAGCCTCTTCCTTCTAGGCAGATGGTACAGTAGACGGCAAGCAATGCGTTCACCAAAGGAAAGCGCCACTCGGAGAGCAGAGGTTTACAATCTCCTAGACAGCCATGTGGCTGAAGAAACAGAAAGTACTGTCCCTAAAATACATCTAGGGCTTCATTTTAGTGGAGAATACCAACGCCTACAACAGAATCCCACCAACATGTGGCAATCATAAGAAAGCTCAAAAGTCTAGGAATATATGCCAAAGCTACCCTGGGGCCTAGCGGAAGCTGCTTGTGGACAGCCCCTGGTGTAATGTCTCCTAAAAACAAGCCCTTCAGAAGGCTGAGTATGTATTTCCTGCTTCCCCTCTACGAAGCAACAAGGCCAAGGCAAATTTAAGGTCTCACAAATGACCTTTGATCTTTGGGATCCCAGAACAGTGTGTGTGTAAAAACCAAACACATCAAGAGGGAGTTTTCTTCATATTAATCTCCCATCTCTGCCAGAAAGACAGCGCATTCTGCGGGAACATACAGTCGTTCCTATGTTCCAGCTCAGCATTGGGAGTTAGGAAGAGCAGTCAGGTGTCCACTGTCGGAAAGCGCACAAACCCGGTTCTTCTCTCCTAGACACTTTCAGCAGGGAAGAGTGAATGGGAAGGCTGAAAGATCCACAAAACAAGGATCTTCTCACAGGGCTGACTTTCTGAAACCCTCCCGTCAGTTCTCCAGGAACTTAAACTCAGGGCTAGAGAGGTGACTCAGCAGTTAGCAGCATAGGCTGCTCTTCCGGAGGACCCAAGTTTAGTTCTCAGCACCCACGGCAGGTAGCTCACGGATGCGTGTGACTCCAGCTCTGAGAGAGCTCTTCTGCCTTCACACATACACACACACACACACACACACACACACACACACACACACACACAAAAGAAAACCTAAGCATCTTCATTTCATTCCAGTGAGCCAAAGAGCCGAAAATGAGTCCTCCCAACAGCGGGAGGGGAACTGGCCCTTGATGGCAAACTCTGAGGAAGGCAGTGGTCATCGCCACTCTCCCAGTGACGGGTCTTGCTGCAGCGCTCACCATCACATCTGCACTGCTGCTGGAAACGAGGCAGGCTACAAATACTGACTATATGATTTCTATAAATGTTGGCAGCAGCCAGACATTCAGAGTTGGCTATATACCTGGCATTCAAGAGACATGAAAACTACCAATTTCTGCCCACATAGACTGTCTGACATTACTACCATCTCTCTTACCTAAAACCCACACAGAAATTAGTTGTATCCAAGCCAACTTTCATTCTAAATGAGTGTCTGACTCTATGCCAGGGACAGGCATCGCTGAAGAAACTGCAAACACCCCCAGGCTCTCTCTAGTGAACCCCAGTAGAATATGGAGTCTAGTGTTCGTTAACAATAGATCTCTGGGGAGAGCAATGACAACCCTGGATGAAAATGTGGCGCCTGTCTTCAGGAGAGCCCTGGCTAGTGGCGAGTCTAAGGGTGGCCCCTGCTGCAAAGGACAGGGCTCATTCAGAGGTGGTGGTATTTCCTCTCAACGCTTACAAGCAGGCACAAAAGGGAAAATGCAGCACTGTTTCCCATCTCTGAGCAACAAGGCCAAGGCAAATTTAAGGTCTCAGAAATTATCTTTGATCTGGGATCCCAGAACAGTACATGTGTAAAAACCAAAGACGTCAAGAAGGAGCAGAAAGACAGCGCGTTCTGCGGGAACACACAGTCTTTCCTACGTTCCAGCTCTGGGACAAAGAGGAGCAGCGCGGCATCGGGAGTTAGGAAGAGCAGTCAGGTGTCCATTGTCGGAAAGCGCACATACCGGTTCTTCTCTCCTAGACACTTTCAGTAGGGAAGGGGGAGCAAGCAGCAATGTGGATATGGGAAGCTGTCAGTCACCCCGAGAGCTCATGCCAGGCGCATGTTCCCATTGTGTGCTATAAACCTACAGCACTAGATATACACGAACAATAATAAAAAAAAATCAAGCCCTTGATATTAATCAGCATCCCTAGGCAGGAGGGGGGTAGAATGTTCTCCCAGGGCAGTCTCCTCCCGTCCAGCCGCCATCACCCACCAGTGTGCTAGCACCTCACCAGGTGAAATGGGAAAGAGGAAAGAAATTAATGTTTGTTAGCATTAGAGTAAATCTAAAATGATCCGTCAGCAAACACTCGCCACTTAAACTGCTGCCCACTGCACACAGCGTAGATAGTAAGACGAGATGACCAGCATCGAGCCAGTTGTCACCTCCGGTCCTGAGGACAAGGTCTGTCACTAAGAACTTCTATAACTGTACGCACCGATTGTCTTAATAATATTGGCTTCAATGTTCTGATCTACAGGCTGCTTCGCAGTACTTTCCGCGGCCTTCCTCAGATGGCCCTCATGGCTGCTCCAGGAGGTAGCTAGGCAGCAGAGGCCCCCATGCAGAGGAACCTGAGACTCGGGAAAGCCACTCTCCCAAGGGGTCATATGGCTCTTGAGAACTGAAAGGAGGACTAGGAACTACCCTATGAACACTCCTCCTCAGATGAATGGGCAGAAACTCCTCCTACTGGCCTGTGCCTGAGTAACGCACATCTCTGGCAGCTTCTGGTGACTGAGTCAGAAGGTGACTGGAAAGGAACGGCTCTACACCTGCAGCTTCAGTATCAAAATCCCTTAAGTTATGAAGTCAGAGGAAATGACCTTTTCTTCAGTCCTGTCTTCAAACCTGAGCAAGGCCCTACACGTCTGCGAAGACAGTGATGAAGATGAACCCTTCGTGGATACCGAAGTGTGAAATGGACAGGACAGAGCAAGGAGCATCCCTCAGGCTGCACGGAAGGCACTTCAGACAATGTCCTCAGCAGGGGCGTGGGCAGTGTGCGCGCCCAGGGTGGAGAACTGGTACCAATTGCGCAGGAAGCCCCTGTTGTACTGGCCTGTGTCCACGATGAGCCCACAGAGGAGCCGGCGGCCCGTCTTCTGCCGAAGGGCCTGCTGGACTTCCCTCTCGGTCACATTGTAGCTGATGTTTATCAACTGGATGAGGAAGATGTAGGCCATGCCCGCGGTGATGATCACGGAGTACCACACGCAGGTGAAGGACAGAGCCGAGCTGCGTTGGAGAAGGAAGCCTTTCTGAACATCTGTACTCTTTAGTAAGGACCTGAGCATCCTCTCCTCTGATTAGAGGATATCACAGTAGCTTCAGAATGCCAATGCCCAGTTGAACCTTTTAGATTTTCCCTTGGATTCTTAGTACATAGTTTCCCAGCATGTTATATTTAGCAAAGGCTGTTTCATTATACTTCATAGCACTTGTTGAATAAATGAGCAATTCCTAAGCTGTGTCTAACTCAGGAGGAAACAGAGGTTCCCAGAGGTCATTACTGCAGTGTTCTAGGAAGTTGGAGAGAGAAATCTAAGAACAGGGCTATGTTCTGTCTAAAGTCTAGTGCTAACTGAGTACTACAAGGACAACTCTCAACATTAACAGCCCTTTATGTATATGTAGGAGCCAGGCTGGAGCAGTGGCACAGGCACAGGCAATGGCTGCACTTCCAGAAAACATGAGGTCAGTTCCCAGCACCCTCGTAAGTTAGCTCACAACCACCTGTGACTCTGGTTCTAGGGACTAGGATGCCCCCTTCTGGCCTCTGTGAGCAGCCACACATACTTGACATTTGTAAATTAAATAAAAAATTTCAAAAATAAAAAAAAAGAGCTATAGGAACCTAATATTTCAAACTAAATCACACAGGGCAGGAAAACATCGTCAAGGCTCATTCACAAACTATGGGCTGGGGCTGTCGCTCAAAATACTCAAAGACCAGGCCATGTCCACTTACACATGAACGGTGAACAGTTAGCTGGGAAGAAACCACAGACTCTTCGTGTGTGAAGCTAAACAGGACCTCACAGGTTACAAATCTGAAACCCCACCATGAGCTGAGGGGACAGCAATCACCACATAAAGTGGGGTGAGACACAGTGGTGGGGCTGGGCACCTCCTTCACCCCACGAAGCAAACAGACACTTTGCATTATACTTATCACCCTTGTGTTGGCCAAGAATTTCACAGTGATTATCCATATGTCCAAAGTAGAAAGTTACCACAAGGAGAGAGGGTTAATAATCTCTCTAAAATACCTGCAATGTCCAAACCTGGAGTAGGGAGCTCTGATCTCTGCAGAGACTAACAAGAACTAACAACACACAGGGTGTCTGGGTAGCAGAAGCAGAAGCTGCTCTGAGAACAAGGAGTGAGAAGGAAGCAAAGAACCAAACCAGAGGCCACAGAGCGCCCATGCTGAGGGAAGGGGGAAGGAACAAACAGTATGGGCAAGGAGCACCCTTGGTGTGGGGGGATGGGAGTGACGAGAACATTCTTGGTGTGTGGAGGGGGAACACTGTTAGTGGAGGGGGACAAGAGCACCCTTCATGTGTGGGGGTGGGAGGAGCAGGACACACATGAGAATGGAAATCTGCACAGTTTATAAATGGGCTCCCACCTAATGACGCCTGAGGAATCTTGACCTAGAAAACACAGTAATCATGAGTGGTGAAATTTAAAAAAAAATTAGAGCAGAACAAACCATGAGAGGTTAGAGAAAAGAGAAAGGTTACAGAGATATGAGCAACTCTCCAAAGGATCCAGCTGCGACCTCAGGCACACAGGAACTTCTCAGCTGCGGGAGTTCCTGGTAAAGCCAAAGCCTGTTTGTTTGCCTGTTGAGACAGGGTCTCTATATGTAGCCCTGGCTGTCTTGGAATGTGATTTATAGAACAAGCTGTCCTTGAACTCTGAGATATGCACCTGCCTCCGCATGCCAAGTGCTCGGATTAAAGGTAGGATTAAAGGTATCTGCCATCAATGATGCTTCTGACATTATCCCAGAACACACCCATCATCACTGCACAGCATTGTTGATCACCTAGAACACACCCATCACCACTGCACAGCTCTGTGGATATCATCCTAGAACACACCCATCACCACTGCACAGCTTTGCTGATCACCTAGAACACACCCATCACCACTGCACAGCTTTGCTGATCACCTAGAACACACCCATCACCACTGCACAGCTTTGTTGAGATCATCCTAGAACACACCCATCACCACTGCACAGCTTTGTTATCATCCTAGAACACAGCCATCACCACTGCACAGCTTTGTTGATTACCCTAGAACACACCCATCACCACTGCACAGCTTTGATGGCAATTTTAGGGATGTCCAGCATCTCCAAAGCCTGCCCTATGCTTGACTGAAAACAGCTAACTTAAGAGCAAATAATGGTCTGTTTCTGGCAACAATTATTTCTTCCTCACTAGCCCTCTTAACAGAGTGTTCCATAACTTACCTGTAATTTGCGTAAACTCCAGGACAGTAGAAGAGGGCTGTAAAGAGGCTTCTGTCCCTACAAATGCTGTTCAAGGTCAGCGATATCCCGTACACCGAAGTGAGCAAGAAGATCAAAAGGGCAAGTATAAATGCTTGATGATTTGATTCTCCAACGCAGCTGTTTATCCTCAAAACAGCAGAGGGGAAAACACATTTGAAAATGTCTCGTATAACCCACACGATATACAAGAAAGCCTTTAAAATAGAGACAGTAGGACGTTCAGTTATGAAACCCTAAGTCATCTCAGGTTTCAGTTTTAGGGAAATAAAACCCTGTCTGCTGTGTGACAAAGTCTTATATTCTCTATGGAAAAGTAGAACCATTATCCCTTAGTCTGAAGCCATGACTAATCAAAAAAGCAGAACCCAGCTAGCAAATCTACCCATCTAAATATAGTGCTTATACATACATAAACATACATGCATAGGCACATATGGGTTTTTATGTAGTACTGGGGGTCGAACCTGCTTCACTGTGCATGTTAGGCAAACAC